TCCAAAAAATTTCAGACAATATCCTAGGAAAAGACAACGAGGATCACAACCCCAGGAAGCCCAGCAGAATGAATCCATGGGGCATGACAAGAAACTAAATGCAAAGGGGGAGAATCCAACAAAAAGAAAGTCATGACAACGATAAGTCAGTACGTATCAGCACTAACCATCAATGTTAATGGTCTCGATTCACCAATCGAAAGAAATGGACTGGCAGAATGGGTTAAGAAGCAAGATCCAACAATACGCTGAATACAAGAAACACACAATTCAAAAAGGAACTCATAGACTGAAAGTTAAAGGGTGGAAGACAATACGCCACACAACAGGAACCCGAAAAAAAGCAGGAGCAGCTATCTTCTTTGCAGATCAAGTGGATTTCAAACCATCACTGATTAAGAGAGACAAAGAAGGACACTACATCTTTGTAAAGGGAAAAATCCAAGAGGAAGAGATGACAATCATAAATATCTATGTACCAAACACTAGTGCACCCAACTATATAAAACAAACACTAACAGACATGAAAAATCAAATAAGCACTAACACAGTAGGAGTGGGGGACCTCAGTACCCCAGTGTCACAAACAGATCAACTAGACAAAAAACAAGCAACGAAATACTAGAACTCAATCAAACTCTTGAACAAATGAATTTAACAGATGTTTACAGAGTGTTCCACCCCATAAAATCAGAATACTCATTCTTTTCAGCTGCACATGGGTGGTTCTCCAAAAGAGACCACATACTCATTCATAGAACATGTTTAAGTAAGTGCAAAGGAACTGAAGTTATCCCCTGTATATTATCAGACCATAGTGCGATGAAATTGGAGATCAAAAGCAAAAGAAACAAGAATTTCATAAACACATGGAAACTGAACAACACACTTCTGAATAACCAATGGGTCACAGAGGAAATTAAAGAAGAAATCAGACAGCTCCTACAATTACATAACAATGCCAATACAACATATCAGAATCTATGGGACACAATGAAAGCAGCCTTACGCGGGAAATTCATAGCAGTGAATACTCACATGAGGAAAACAGAGCAAGCTCAATTACACAACCTGATGCTGAGCCTCAAGCTTCTAGAAAAA